TTCCATTCGAGAACGAATTGATCGGCTCGTACGCACCTCAAAATGTTGATCTCGAAGTTCATTATATTTGTCCTCCACACGAGACCAAAATGCATCTCGAGACTGGTTTCTACCGATAATAGGGTTTTGAGAAATATCCAAGAATACTTGACAAAGGAGCACATCTTCAGTAACCGTGTATCCAGATGATCGAACAGACATTTTTTTGTAAAAAGTTGTTGGTTTGGAGATTATAAATACTTTTAAGAAATACTTCGAATTGGGTGGTTTGAAGTAGAATTCGTGAATGTTATTTATAGCCAATCCAAATTTGTTTTTTTTTTGTTTGAATTTGAATTTGAATTTGAATTTGAATTTATCGGTGGTCAACATTTGAAATTGAATTGTTGTGTACAAACTGATCAGCTTTACACATTGCCCAACGTTGTCGGTGGGAATCATGTTTTGAAATCAGGTCAGCTTGACACATTGTCCAATGTATACAGAGCTCAGCTTTCCTTGAATTGTGTGAAAGCTTTATACGAGTGGGAGTCATTTTTTGAAATCAGGTCAGCTTTACACATTGTCCAACGTATACATAGCTCAGCTTTCCTTGAATTGTGTGAAAGCTTTATACGAGTGGGAATCATTTTTTAAAATCAGGTCAGCTTTACACATTGTCTAACATATACACAGCTTAGCTTTCCATGAATTGTGTGAAAGCTTTATACGAGTAGGAATCATTTTTTGAAATCAGGTCAGCTTTACACATTGTCCAACGTATACACAGATCAGCTTTCCTTGAATTACGTGAAAGCTTTATACGAGTGGGAATCATTTTCTAAAATCAGGTCAGCTTGACACATTGTACAACGTATACACAGCTCAGCTTTCCTTGAATTGTGTGAAAGCTTTATACGAGTGGGAAATATTTTTTAAAATCAACTCAGTTTTACACATTGTCCAACGTATATAGCGAAGCAAATTTGAATTTTGTGATAAATTGATAACAGTTGAAAAGCATTTTCTGAAATCAGCTCAACTTTACACATTGTTCAATGTATACAGCTAAGTAAAGTTTTATAAATAGCATACTAGATTAGGTACATCCACATAATTATTCGTTGTTGTGTTAAAATTATTATTCTCCATTTCTGCATACTTCAGTCATTCTTTTCTTACTTTAAAAATAAATTTCGATGCTGGAGGTCCATCATATTTATCATCATCTTCATCTTCGGATGATGATAATTTCTATCCAATATCATTACAGAGATTGATGAAACCGAAGAAATAATTTGTGAGTACATCAACAACAACATGATCCTCGCTAACAATTTACGTCAACAAAACTACCAACCGATCCATGGTGGCTCGATTCCCGGTCATGCAGTGATCAACCACGATCGAGAAACTGCGCATCAGAATTTGGTCATAGATTACTTTGCCGATAATCCACATTTTGGAGAAGATATGTTTCGTCGTCGATATCGGATGTCAAGAAGTTTGTTCCTTCGTATTGTTGATGCAGTGAAAGATCATAACTATTACTTCCAACAACGAAGTGATGGACTTGGTAGAATGGGATTATCACCATTACAGAAAGTAACAGCTATTTTTCGCATGTTGGCATACGGTCTACCAGCTGATGCTACGAACGAATACGTTAAAATAGGTGAGACAACAACAATTGAAAACATGTATTACATGACATAATGACTGCATGCATTATTATGCACAATATGATAATCGAGGATGAACGTGATCTTTATGCACCAATTCAAGAAGTGAGGGAAGCACCAACACCAGAAGTTGATATTGTAGCAGATGAAACTATAAGATTTACTCAATTTATTACACGTTACAGACAAATCAAGGATAAAAATGCCCATATTGCGCTTCGTAATGCATTGATAGATCATTTATGGGAGGAATACACTATTTCAGATAGTTAAGTGCATATTAAATTTATAATTTTTACATTGTTGTTAATGTTTAATTATTTTCTTGTATTTTATTTTCTGTTGTGTTCTTAAATGTAATATTTTGGCAATATCAATAATAAAAATATAATATTTTAGCAATCAAGTAATTTTAATTAATAAAATAATATTTTATTGTTTTATTAGTTTAATTTTTTAAATAATAAATTATTTTGTTTGAAAATATGTGAAAAAAATAAAATTTGATATGTGGGGTTAATTGTTGAAATAGTTAAAAATATAGGGAATAAAAAATAATAATATAAAAGTAGATAGAAAAGAATATACTGAGAATATTCTTTTTTGGTGCAAAAAATGGTGTAATGGGTTGGAGATGAATTACTGTTAGATGTGACTTTTGTACCATTTTGGTGCAAAATTTGTACCATTTTGGTGCAAAATTTGCACCATTTTGATGCGATGGGTTGGAGATGCCCTTATATAGAAAATTATAAAGTGCAAAGAGGACATGATAAACGTCTGAATATTAATTTTGAATTAGAACAATCATTACACAACATGAAATTACTAATAAGTATCAGTATGTGTTGCTAATTAATAGTTAGAAAATAGTAATAGCTAGCTTTAAATTATATGTTGACCAAATGTCAGAATTCTCCTCCCTTCATGTATAATTTTCTGGAATTCTTAGGTTGATTTCACAAATCCTGCATGGACTTTTGAGGGTTTTCACACAACTCCCTAAATTGTATTTATCTCACATAATTCTCTTGTACTTCGTGGTGTCTCGAAAACTCCCCATGAAACCTTTTATTACCGGATCCTCTACATATCATGTGCAAATAAATAAAATGTCATTGGGGAAAAGCAAATAAATAAAATGTCATTGGGGAAAAGAAATCTTTACTTTTATCAATTTTCATTTATATG